GCGGAGAAAGATTCCCCATAGTCAAAAGTTCAGACACATTTCTATCTACAAGAATGTCACCTCATGACAGTTACTTCCTTAGGGGTGTAGATGTTCCAGAGAAGCCAGCTATCCTAGGCTGGCACAGAGACTTTGTAGAGGATGACAGAAGGAGCTTTTAAATAAAACCATTTTCTCCAGTGTGGCCAGAGTGTGTGTGTGTATGTGTGTGTGTGTGTGTGTGTGTGTATGATGGGTATGTATATTATGTGTGTGTATATATATAAAATTTTCTGTGCACTTAAAAACTTCACTCAAATCCTTCTGGCATTTGTGCTTCCTGTTTAGAAATTTCTTAAGTGTTGAGCCTCTTGGTTCGAAGCCCATCTATGCTGTAGTTTCTTGCACTTCATGGCTGATCCTTCCAAAGACCTTAGTCTCTAAAATGTACCACCACACTGAGAAGAATGGAGGGGATACAGAACCAGAGGCATTTTCATTGCCCTTTTCTCAACTCCCATTGTTCCAGAAATTATTTATTGCGTAGGAAAGGAGTCTGAAGATTTCTTTCCATGTTGGTTGTGGCCTACACTCACCTTGGTCCCCTGTAAGAATGTCAGCTCCAACTTAAGCCTCCAAGTACACCTTAATTAATACTGAGTAAAATTATATTCCTCTCAAGACAGAGGATATGGTTCATTACAAGAAAGTCCTTTTTGATGTTTGCCCTCCTTTGTGAACATTTCTTAAAGGAACAGTAGGGGAACTGAATGTTTGTGTTGAAGAAAAACAACCCAAACCAAGAAAATAAGCAAATACGCATTTTTAAAGTTGCTGAGAATTTCAAGTAAGCCTCTTCCTTATTTGATTTTCTTTTATTTACCATATATTCATAGAAAGAACTTAAGAAATGTTTATAGGATATTTTTGAAGGGGATAGGAATGCTCTCTTTGAAATGGCTCTTGGTGAGGTTGAGGAAGAATGACAGCTTTTGGAATTTTGCTCAAATAAAACCTTTCAAAGAGCAAGCAAAATCAATGCTAGACCTATATATACCTGACTCATATGGGGACAAGAAAGTCACGCCTTTTGGCTAAGTTTCCTATTTAATGAGCTAGTACATTTCTGTTTTGAAGACTGAAGAGTGTGACGTCATTCTATATAAGTATGTCACAACGGATGCCCTCCCCAGCCCTGTCTTAGCAGGAACTTCATTCTCTGCCCAACTAGCATCACCTTGATTGAACTCGAGCTGAATCAGAGTGATGGGGCCATTTTTAGAGATCAACAGCCACAGAAGCGTGCTCCTATAGCTGAATACACGTGCCTTAGCATTTTCAGAAACGACCTAGATAGAGCACTCAGTAGAACTTTTGACAGGGATGGTTTAGAATACACATATCTGTACCAAGAATAATTTTTGTCCTTTTGTACAGCTTTCAGAAAATTATCAAACGCAGTCATCTATTCTCCACGGCAAAATGCAAGGGCCAATCATTATACTACCAGATACTTTTATGTGTAATGTAAAAATGTTAAATATAAAATATAGAGAATGATGAGATGATGTTTCCTAAAATCTAGTAACTATATGTGACGCAAGATAATTAACTAGCCTTTAAGATGAATATCAAGCTTTATCTACTATTTAATTATAGCATGCTATACATCAGCACCAGCTGGAAGATAGCTAACACAAGCCATTAGAACCCAGCACAATCACGAGGAACATAACTCGTTTCTATTACAAGATTCAAATGTGGTGTAGACATTAGAATGTCTAGAAATACGAATTTAAATATTTCCTAACATTTTTTTTTTCTCATTGGAAACATCGAGCTATTTTGAACTTTCTGATCTGAGCTACTTTCTGGGCAAAACATTCATACCAAACTAATGACTGCTTTTGCCTTGAACGTGGATACCTTAAGAGACAGGGGATTGTACACAAGAGTTCCTGATGCATCACTCCCGTGGATGACAGCATTCTAGCAATTTCCTCACAATAACAGTAATTAGGATATTTTTTAAAATAATAATTATGCCATTATCTGGGGGGAAAGGTAAGTCTCTGTTAAAGCCAGGTCTACAGCTGGAGCCACAGCCCCCCCCCCTTTCTCTTGTAGGAGCTCACCTTAGGAGGAAAGGGGCGGGGCATCAGTGAGCTACTGATGAGGACGCCTGTAACCTTCCAGGTTTATTTAGGAAAATGGAAAGGAGCTTGGCTACTCGACGCTGCACTCCAATTCCTTAGTCCCCCTTCAGCTAAAAACCTCTTCTCTTTCTCAGCTTCAATATGAAAAGTTGCTTCCTAAGCACCTTATATTATATTCAGTTTCCAGTCAAAAGTTGACTTAGAGCAAATCCCAAGCAGGAATGTTTACTTTTTAAATTTTTTTAAAAAAGAAATTCTTTTTTAAAAGTTAAAGTTTTTCTTTCAGAAAATGACTATTTAATACAAGATAGCCATTGCTTTTATAAAACTGTGATTCCAGAGTGACATTTTCATAACCAAGAAGTTGATGCTCTTTCTAGTTTATTTTATTTCATTATGTTCTGAGTTTCTCTGATGAAAGGCAATACTAGATCATGGCTATATTGACAGTAGCCAATAGTGAAGCCCGAACTTATCAACACAATCTCTGAATGTTAGGTTCTAAATGCTGTACAAAGTTCTGTAGAATCAGAGGCCTGTAAGACTGGAACCTGTGAGCAGAGGCAAATGCAAGATGATACCGTGGACAGAAAAAGAGCCATGGGGTGCTGGATGTGGTAAGGAACAGTCTGGGTGGGGCGTCCTTGCTGGATTCTCAAGGGCCCCTGAAAATGACCTGCGCCGCTGGGAGAGTTAAAGGGAAAGTCCACCACGGAGGGTGTCAACCACATTTGCCAGGGCTTGAGAGTGTGTTTTAGAAATGATAAAATATTTGACTTTGCCAATTGGAGAGTTGAAAACGGCAGAAACGGAGTCAAAACCCAGACAAAACACTACCAGCAAAGTGATGACAGATGAGGAGGACTCTCCGAACTCCATTCTTAGAACTGATCAAGTAACAGTTGCTGCTGATGTTGGCTTGGGCATGTTCCTCCCTGTAGCTGCCATCTTAACTGGTGAGCGTCATAGGAAAACAGAGCAGGGGTAACGAGCCTGTGTGCCTGTTTTCCTGGGTGCTCACATGTTCTTGTCCCCCATAAAGATACTGCAAAAGCAACAGGGCACGCCACCCGAGTGGTGTGCAGTAGGTGTTTCTCCAACCGGTTCTAAAAGTTACGCCAAGAGAAACTCATAGAGAATTAGTCCCTTGCCTCGGGTGTGTTCCCAGTGTTAATCTAAGAACTCCTTTGGCGGTGTCACCAAAGGAAGTGACATTGCAAGGGGCTCCTTTTTACCGTTCATTTTGTCTTCATTTACACGGCTGAGATTGGTATTCACAGAAGCTGTCTTAATGTTAAAAGTCTATTCGTTTACTTTTCCTTGAAAACTAAACTAAGTGAAGGACGATTCCATCACCTGAGCCCATGTGAACTCAGAATCATGTTTGCATGCTTTCATATCCAACACGTGCTCACGCTCCTCTACACTGATGGTTCTTAGTCTAAATCTTTATGTCCTGAACAGACAGCCCCTTCTTACACTTTATAATTGGCTCTGAGGCTGCGCGAACGTTTGAAACAGGTGATACGTGTTCGCACGTATCAGTGAAAACATTCCAACTAACAATATTAGGAGACTCCTTATGCGATCTGTACTTTGCGAGAAAAAGACAGTAATAAAGAATAAACTACTTCTTGGGAAAAGATCACAGTTACTTTTTATTTGCAATTTTCATGATCAGCTCCATCTTTGGCTGGTAGAGACGAGTTATCAGAAGTTTCCAGCCAGATGATTTTCAGTAAGTATTTCTAACAGCATTATGGCTAATCCGACATTCCTGGTCCTCCAGCCACCAAACTGACTCAGGGCAGCTGAAAGGGTGCTAAGGCAGAATGTAATCATCTCTTGGCCCTTTCCTTGCCAGGGGAGTTTGATTTGACTGATCAGTTTGAACTCAGCGTACCAGCTTGTTCCTAAGAGACTATCCACCAAAGAAATGCTCACGAAGGGGCAATACCCCTTTCAATTCAAAGTCTGTGCCATTTTCAGGCAATGGCCAGCGACAGACATAATCCCCATTATTGGTGTGTGGATCTGTAGGAAGAATGTGGTATTTTTGTTGTTGTTATTGTTGTTGTTTGTTTGTTTTCACTATCCTGTGAATTTCTAGCTACTTGTGAGAAAAAAAAAGTGCGAGAGAAGTTTTCCTATAGCTGTACTGGGGTTCAGTGCAGATAATTCACCTCTTTTCTTTCCCTGGATTCCGAGCCTGGGGAGTACAATGGGGGTGTTGTGCTCTGGGGTAGCCCGGCATGCAGGATATTGCAAGAGGAGGTGTGAGCAACTTGCAGTACCTAAAGTGTTTGCTCTATAACTGCCGAGGACTAAATCAAACAGCCCACCAGGCCATTTGGTTTAGAGTAAGCAAGTACAGACTCCACTAGCTACTACGACTTACATAGGAAACAGAATTCCTCGCTTTAAAAGTGTACATAGGTGTTAAGAATTAAAACATTTATGAGGCTAAAAAACAAACGCTTCCCAGCTTGCATGCAGTCGGTTTACTGTGCAGTTCTTTTAACGTGTCAAAGGGCAAGTCACAAAAGAATCCATTGTTCTGTTGGAGAGAAAGGTTATTGGCTATCAGGTCTATCCAGAAAGACAAGCCATCATAGTCTGTTAAAACAGTAAACAGTTATTTTAAATCCTAAAAGAAAACAGCAGCGCCTCTTTTCTTTATCACACAATTTCTGGAACCTCAACTCAAAGAGAGTTAAACTCTGTATCTTAAACATTATTTTGTGAAAGTAATGTGCGCGTTTCCTCCTTAATTTCAGGTCACAACGACCAATATAAAAATGTCAGGTTAAGTTTTGGCTTCAAGTTCTTTTTATGCCGAGCTTTCAAAAGAGGGAAAAAGCTTACCTCCGTCAGTCAAGTGGGAAGCCCGGAGCCCCTTTCTCAGCCTCCGCTTCAGCGTGCGGGAGCGGGAGCAGATGCTCCGAGCTAACAGTCTCTTCACAGGAAGCAGGTGAACCCGAGAGCCGAGAGCGGCTGCCTGCGTTCCAGCCCAGTGCCCATCCGAGCACACACCTGCTTTCCCAGACCTGCGAGCAGCAGCCTCGCGCAGGACCTGTGCTAGCAGAGGGAGGCACCCTCTTTTCAAAGCCCCGGTTCTCTCAGTTGGGGAGCTGCCGAGATAACTGTGCGGGGAAGGCTTGCCTTCCCGAGACAAAACCCTTTCCTGCTGCTGCTCGCGAGCTGATACGCGGCATTATCACCCTGCATTCCCCGTTCTCCAATCAGCTAATTGCAACAGCAGTCAACAGCTTGTCGCAGGGGCAGCTTGCAGGCACACGTGGCTGCAATGATTGTGCACTAGCATGCCCATTGTGGCTCTCTTCTTTCAAGAGATTTAAAAAAAAAATGCTTCTTCCACCATGAAGCTCTATGCCACACTGCTTTCCATAAGTAAAATGGCTGGTCCTCTCCGCGCTGCTGCGACAGCTCATTGGGTTCCACTAGCTTTTCGTAGCCATAGCAACAACCAACAGACAGACTTAGCAAGCATGGCTGATCATGTGCAGCGCACGACACAGCTTGTTAATTTCTTTTTTTTTTTTTTATCAAACTCGTCATTTTTCGAAGGGGGGCAGCTTCTGTTACCTTTCTAAATGTTTCGTCGAGAGCGCAAGCGCCCTGATCCCTCCCCTCCCCTACACTCCCCCTCCCCCCACACGCAAGCACTCAGCTTTTCTGGGGAACTTTTGTATATGTCAGTCTTACGCCGTGAGATCGAGGAAGGGAAGCTGCATTCGCATCTATCCAGGTTAAAAATATGCATATCTCCGGAGAGGGCACTAATTGGAACCATGGGCAAAAACAGGTTTGACCTTGGAGTCATAGAAGGGGCTGGAAGGAGACCTGCTGAATGGGGGCAGCTGTGGTTTTTGTTTTCCAATGACAATCCTATAGCTAACTTAATTCAAGCAAAGCCCCGTGAATCTTACGTTATATCTAGTCCAAATAATAGTCTAGTCAGAGGAGCTGGTTTATTGCTTCTGAATTATCCATTTATCTATAGACTGTATTTAATATCTTAATACATCACACAGTTTAAAGGAGAATTTTTTTTAAAGAAAGTTCTATTGCTATTCCCGTGGGAAACTCTCTCTAACTCAATTATACTTTATTTTTAATTTTAAATTACTTTTCAAAATCCAAACCAAGGCCTAGTGGTGGTGGTGCACGCCTTTATTTCCAGCACTCGGGAGGCAGAGGCAGGCGGATCTCTGTGAGTTCGAGGCCAGCCTGGTCTACAAGAGCTAGTTCCAGGACAGGCACCAAAGCTACAGAGAAACCCCGTCTGGAAAAACAAACAAACAAACAAACAAACAAACAAAAAATCCCTTGAGAATTTAAGCTTTACCTTCAAGGCAGGAATTTGGACTGCATTCCAGACTTTTTCAAAAGCCCATCTCCTCAAGGCATCTCCCTTGGCTAGGCTAACGCCATTAACAATTTAAATCTTCTAAAACTCCCCCCCTCCTCCTCCAGACTTTCCTACTCTTTAAGTACTGTCACCAGCCGTGTTCTACTTGAGATATTTTCAAAGTAGCGTCCTACTTATGTTTGCTCCTAGCCCTCTGTTTGAAATCATGTGTTAGCACTTTGGACTTGTAAACAGACAAGTTGCGTTGGCTAGGAGACATTATGTTTTGTTAAGTATTGCATTTTGCTGCCCACGCTAGCGTTCCGACCTTCTGTAGTCACTCCCGGGGTCAGTATGATAGGAATCCTATGGCCGTAGATTTGGGGATTCCATTTCCTCTTCCTGTCCAAGCAGCTCTTATTGACTTGCACAGGATCGGTAAGTCCCGTAAGAAAGACTGAGTGGACCTTTCTGCTGGGTTCGAGTCCCCCACTTTTTCTCATCACTGAAGTCTTTGTCTGATCAAATAGCTGAGTTTGCGAGTCCCAAATAGGTCACTACAATTCCTTGAGCATGTCTGCTCTTCAGTCTCAAATGTCAACATCTTGAGTAGCAAAAACAAAAAAACAAAACAACAACAAAAAACATGCTTCCTGGACCTTTGGATATTTCTGTTTTCTGAGACAGGTTCTTTACTGAACCCCTACTCAGCATCTTTAACTTAGGTTCCACACTGTCTCTTTATCTAACTATGAACATCTTGCTCAAACAGAGACCACACCAGTGACACATGTAGAGGCCACCCTAGTGCCCACACTGTGCCTGAGATCTGCCTCTATTGTCTGGGGACTTGTCACACCTTTTTTACTAATGAACAGTTTTCCTCTGTTACTGCCTGAAAGTCAATCTGGCCCATACACTATTGTCTTCTGTACTTGAATATTGTATCCCAATACATATATATTCTTGAATGTAAGATGGCGTCTAACTCTGTTGCCTTGACTGGTCTCCAACATCTGAACTCAAGGAATCCTCATGCTTCAGCTTGTTGAGTGGCTGCAGGTGTATGTCATTACATGTGGATTCCTTATTGGTGAAAAATGTCCTACAATACTCTCAGACTTCATGAGCATTCTGCATTTCAACTCACGTTTGCACATCATGCATTTATGGATGATATCATTTCAGAAAAACTGAAGTGATTCCGATTAAATGTTGACACTTTCTAAAAAGATACCAAGAAATATTCTAATTTTGGATTTTTGAGTGGTTTGGCACATCTTTATCCCACCTACATGGATTGTATAGTTGGGCATAGGAATCATCAAAGTCATTTTCTTTAGGGATTCAGGGGTCTTCTTCCTTTTTGGCTCATCTCCTGCTTCCATTACAGCACAAACAGTTCTTGCTCTAAAGAGAGAGCTTGGAGCCCCCACATTGTATGGGACTGGAAAAGGCTGGTGGGAACTGAGACAAATCATTTGCTATTTTGTTACCCCATGGTGTCTGTTAAGCATCTCTATCAATTATTAAAAAGTTGTCCATCCTATACAATAAAGGAGCTTCTGAAGGCATCACCATCCCTGACTTCAAACTTTACTAGAGAGCTATAGTAAGAAAAATGGTTTGGTATTGGTACAAAACAGACAGGTGGATCAATGAAATTGAATTAAAGACTCCAACATTAATCCACACACCTATGAACACCCGATTTTTAACAAGAAGCCAAAATTATATGACAGAAAAAAGAAAATCTCTTCAATAAATGCTGCTGGTATAGCTTGATGTCAACATGTAGGAGAATGAAAATAGATCCATATCTATCACTCCACACAAAACTTTAGTCCAGGTGTATCAAAGACCCCAACATAAATATAGTTACACTGAACGTGATAGAAGAGAAAATGGGAAGTAGACTTGAATTCATTGGTACAGGAGACTACTACCTGAATATAACACAGTGGCACAGACACTGAATGCAACAATCAATAAATGGGACCTCCTGAAACTGAGAAGCTTCTGTAAGTCAAAGGATACAGTCAGTAAGATAAAACAGCAGCCTACAGAATGGGAAAAGATCTTCACCACCCCCACATCTGACAGAGGGCTGATCTCTAAAATATATAAAGAACTCAAGAAGCTAAACATCAAAATACCAAATAATCCAATTTAAAAAAATGGATTACAGATGGGGTACAGATCTAAACAGAGAATTTTCAACAGAAGAATCTCAAATGGCCAAAAGACACTTAAATTATGCAACACCCTTAGTCATCAGGGAAATGCAAATCAAAAAGACTCTCAGATACCGTCTTACACTTGTCAGAATGACTAAGGTCAAAAATATACTGAGGGCAGCTTTTGTTGCAGAGGATATGGAGTAAGGGGAACACTCCTCCACTGCTGGTGGGAGTGCAAACTTGTACAGTCACTTTGGAACGCAGTATAGTGGTCTCTTAGAAAACTGGGACTCAATCTACCTTAAGACCAATTTTAGGCATATACTCAAAAGTTGTACAATCATACCACAAGGACACCTAGTATGTTCATAGCAGCATTATTTATTTTTTGTGTGAATTTTTTATTGCTATTTATTGAGCTCTACATTTTTCTCTGCTCCCCTCCCTGCCTCTCCCCTCTCCCCTTCAACCCTCCCCCAAAGTCCCCATGCTCCCAATTTACTCAGGAGATCTTATCTTTTTATACTTTCTACTTCCCATGTGGATTATATCTATGTAAGTCTCTCTTAGTCTGTATTGTTGTCTAAGTTTTCTGGGATTGTGGTTAGCAGCTTTATTCATAATAGGCAGAACCTTGGAACAACCTAGATGCCCCTCAACTGAAGAATGGGTAAGGAAGATGTGGTACATTTACACAGTGGAGTACCACTCAGCTGTAAAAAGCGATTACTTCATGAAATTTACAGGAACTAGAAAAAAAAGCATTCTGAGTAAGGTAACCCAGATCCAGAAAGACAAGCATCAAGCATAGTATGCACTCACTCATAGATGGTTATTAGCAGTAAAGAATAGAATGACAAACTTGTAATCCACAGCCCCAGATAGACTAGATAACAAGAGGGACCCATAGAGGGATGCATGGATTTCCCTGGGAAGGGGAAATAGAAAAGATCTCCTGGATAAACTGGGAGTTGGGGGGTATGGAGGGATGGGAATTAGAAGGAGTGGGTTTGGCGAGTTGAGTGATGTATTGGAGACAGAATGGGGGGGAAGAGTAATGAAAGAGATGGCTTGATGAGGAGCAGGTATTGTGGGGTTAGGGAGAAACCTAGTGCCAGGGAAAGTCCCAGGAATCCACAAGGATGACCCTAGCTAAGACTCCTAGCAATGGTGGACAGAGTGCCTGAACTGGCCATCTACTGTAAGTAGATTGGCGACTTCCCTAATTGCCATCAGAGATACTTTATCCATTAACTGATGGAAGCAGAGGCAGAGACCACAGAAAGGCATGGCACTGAGCTCCAAGAGTCTTGCTGAAAGAAGGGAGGAGGAATTGTACCAGCTAGGGCAAGTTATGATGGGGGAACTCACAGAGACAGTTAAGCTGATCTGAGCTCACTGAAGCTCACAGACGCTCATGAACGCAGTCAAGGAGCCTGTACAGGACCAACCCAGGTCCTCTGCATGTGTGTGGCAATCGTGTAGCTTGGTCTCCTAGTAAGGCTTTTAACAGTGAGAGCAGGACCTTTTCCCAGCGCTTGGCTGACTTTTGGTAACTTGTTCCCCATGCTGGATTACCTGGCCCCACCTTGGTATAAGGGGAGGAGCTTGGTCCTACCTCAACTTGATGTGCCATGCTTTGTGCAAGCCCATGGGAGGCCTGTCCCTTTCTGAATGGAGATGGAAGAGGAGAAGATGAAGAGGGGTATGTGGGAAAGGGGGAGGGATTGGAGGAGAGGAGGGAGGGGAAAGTGGTTGTTGTGTAAAATTAATTTACAAATGTTAGTTAAATTAGAAATAAGTAAAGAAAAATAAAGAGTTGCCCCTTGTCAACCACTGGAGATTGGTTCCAGAACAAACATAATCATCAGATATTCAAGTCCTTTATATAAAATGTTGTATTCATATACATATAATTTAATGTAAATGCTATGTATATTGTTTCATATTATTTAGAAAATAGTGT